GCCTCCGTACCGCTCCTCCTGTCCGGGGCACTCGGCGGACGGCTCCCTCGGCTGCCTCCCTTCGCTTTTCCTTCGCGCTGTTTCCTGCTCTGTTTTTTTGCGCTTCCGTCCCTTCTCCTGGAGACTTCAGCAATTTCGGTAGAATGCGGGGCTGTGGCTTTCCGTCAGCGAGCCCGTCAGCCTTTCTGGGAGCAGCCAGACGTAGCGCCGCGGCCGAAAGCAAGGAGACCGGTGCCCGGAGGCAGAAGCCGATGGGTGCCGCTCCGCGGGATCCTTGCGGAGGAACAGCTGTTGCTTTTAGTCAGCTGCGGTGCCCTCACTAAATCCCTTTGAGCAGGACCCGCTGTCTGCGTTCACATCTGCATCCCGCGCTGAGCCGGAGGACGCGGGCGGCGGGATGGCGGGATGGCGGGCCTCGCCGGCCCGGGCTTGCGTCGGCTTTGCCTTTATTTCCAAGCCTGTTTGGCGTGCTGAGAAGCACTTCGCTTCAGAGAGGAACACGGGTAGCGCCAGCTCTTCCCAGGTTTCTCCGAACCCTTGCTCTGCTGTGCAGATCGGAGGTCAGGCGCAGCTCTCGGTGCTCCAGGCTGCCAGGCGTGGAGCTGATGCTTAGCTGGGACCTGAAGTGGCAGCTTACACCAAAGGTCACCTTTGAACGAATCCCACCTAGCAGTGTCCGCACGGAGACTCCGTGGGTGCTGCCCATCTGCTGCTGAGGCTGGTGCTGGCTCGGCGCTGAGCAACAAGGGTTTTGTTCCGAAATAGCTGGCTGTGTAAAACGTACAAGGAGATCCTCACCTTGGTTATTTTTAAACGTTGTCATTGACCTATGCAGTGGGGTAAAAGTGCATAGAAGGCTGATGGCTTCTCTTTCGTGTAGCTTCGAGGAATTTGACCTTGGTATCAAGTTGCCTGAGCAACTACCGAGTTTTAACGTCCTTTGGAAAATGGAAGTTCGTGGTTAGTGGTTTTCCTTCTCTAAGCGCGCTTCTTTCCTTGTGCAACCTTGCAGCAAGTAGACTTTCGGTAGCAGGAAGAGACAGGTTTGCGATCTGCCCAGCTCTGTGACGTGCTCCTTGCGCCATCCTGTGCTCGCCCAGATCCTCGGCTCTCGCTTTAATATGCCCGCGCAGCTGTTTGGATTTTGGATAGCATTTATCCGTGTGCCAAGTGCTCTTTGTGCACAAGTTTTCATACTGTTCCTCCTAGCTTGCCTGCCTCTAAATAACTAACTCTCTCTGAGGCCTCATGGCAGTTCTAGCAGAGAGTATTATAACTGTTTTCTGAAGGGACAACAGGCCGGCAGCATCGGCCCCTCTGCCCAAGTCTGACAGTAGTCTGGTGTTGGCTGCGCAGCCTCTACAGGAATATTCATTCAAGTGTGTAATTCCTTCCTGGTAGTCAAGTTGGTCTCTGCTGAATAAAGTTTGCCCTTCCTTTGTTTCAGCTCTGGGAAATCCAGTGAATTATACAAATGAGTGCAAACGTTACGTGCTGAGTCAGTGGCGTGGGGGAAATAGTAGCGTGGCTTCCTGGCCTAGCACGGCTCTCTCTGGGAATTGGTACCTCAGACCAGTCTGCCTTCCTGAAATCTCTGCTCTGATGACTAGCATGGCTGTGACTGAGCCGTTTTCTGTGAAAAGTCATATTGCTTTCTTCTGCAGAACGCGAAGGAGCGGATGGTGATGGTATGCCTGGAGAAAAAAGAGTGAATATATACGATGTCAGAGTTTGATTTGGCAACTCCACTCTCTGGGGTTACAGACTGCCTGGTATTGGCTTGACTTCCTACGTGTGAAGGCCTTGCCGTCAGTTTTATAATTGAAGGTTGTTCTTTATCAGGGGTGCAGCAATCCTTGTTTTCTCCGATGCAAAATGGTTGCTCTATGTCCCTTTCTTCCTGCACACAGGTGACGAAG